AAGGAAGGAAGGAAGGAAGGAAGGAAGGAAGGAAGGAAGGAAGGAAGGAAGGAAGGAAGGAAGGATTTCTCTTGGCTTGCAAATGCTGCCCAAAGATTCATATTTACTCTTCAAACAACAAGGAAGCAGTAATATGTAACCAATGGGGGGTGGGAGAGGAAAAAGTGGTTTTTCTCATGTGATGATTGGGCCAAGTATAAAGAAATTAACGCTATTATCCTCTGTTTGCGTTGTGTAATGGGTTGGCTGGGGTCCAGTAAATGAGATGTGTCATGTTTACAACAAGCCTTTTATGGAGGGCTGTTCCCACGATGCTTGCTTGCTTTTCTCCCAAGTCATGGGAGAGCTCCCACAATGTGATCCGATGTCCAAGGGCCAAACGCAATGGCCGCTTGCTTGCTGGCACGCAGGAAGCTGCCTTCTCTTGTGCCAGAGCGTGGACCCATCTCCTTTGGCGGGATTTGCCCCGATCGGCAGTGAACCTGGCAGGATGAGGCAGGATCTTCCTCAGTCTCATATGAAAAGATCTGGCGTTGAGGCTGAGCCTGTGGTGCGAGGCAGTTCAACCCTGAGCTACGTATATTCTCTTCTATCAGCAGCAGTTTCAAAAGAGCCTTCAATGGTTCATAATTGGGGGGGGGGGGATTTTCACTTTTTGCAAATGGCAAGGTCTGATTGGCCCTGTTTCCACGTCTGTCTGCACAGACAGGTTGCTTAAAAGATATAAAATAAGTTTGCAGGCAAATATAAGTGGACAAAACTCTCCCCCATCTTGGTTTCGCATGGGGGTATGTTTTTCACAAAGAATCTCTGGGCTGTCAAAGTGTGTAATCATTTATTCCCACTTATAGCACATGGATGCCTTTATGCCGTCTTCCCTGCCCACGGAGCAATTATGGCTGTTCTCATTCATTTCTTTACTTTTCGGCGCGGCAGCATCTCATGAGCGCTCGCTGAACATTTGTGTCTTCGCAGGAAAGAGCATCACAAGATGTAGGCGAAAGCTGACAACCTGTTCTTTCTGTTCCAAGGAATTTCTCTTCCAAGGAACTTGGGGATTTTTTCCTTTTGGAATCGGCGGACCTGCGGCTTGCTGGGAGGAAATGGCCTCGATTGGTTATTTGAATACAGCCTACGTGGTGCAAGCACACGGAAAGATAAGGCTTGAAAGAGTTGGGTTGACTTCATTACCCAAAATACATGTATCAACCACCACCTTGTACTGCCTTAGTGCAGATGTGATCATACAGGGTAATAGGGTAATACCCATCCTTATTCGGTAGGATCGCAAATATGCATACAATGAGAAAAGCCAATATCAAAATGAAGGAGTGTGATGTGTGGATCTAAAAGATACAACCAACAGGACCTGGTATCCTGGACAGCTTCTTGTTTCACTTCGGTTGTTTTCTGTAAATTATTCCTGATTTTACACAGTGATCATGCAAATGTCTGATCTCTACTTGCCAAGGCCTGGAGTGGTTCGAAACAGCCTGTCTTGTTCTTGTTAGTCACTTCTGGCTTGTAGCTCCAAGAAGGAAGTGGCTACTTGCAGATGTTCAACCAGCTCCT